TTTTTTTTTTTTTGTTCAGAGAATATATTGCTTGTCTAAATTTTAAAAAATGAGTATTTGGTAAGTTAATGTCATAATTTGTTTTTTCTGTACACTAACTTAACAATTTGATAATTTTGAAATGTTTGTTCAAATTTTAATATCATCGAAAATCTTATTTAAATAAATGTAAAATTTTAAGACAAATGGAAAATGGGGAGTGACAAGATATTCAAAAGGGAGAAATTTTAAAAAATAGACAACATTGATAATTGAGCCAAACCAATATACATAAACCCCAAGATCAATTACACACTGATGAATGAATGAATATTGTGCAACAGGAAAGTGCGATTGGATATATTTATTATCTTTTCTCCAGAGTGTGCGTGAGTGAGCGGAGATGTGAAGGATAATCCCCTATATTTTTTGAGTTTTAACGTACACAGGTGGAGGACATGTCCCTAGAATGTGTTTAATTAAAAATATTAGTATAGAATGGGGGTATTAAATTACAAAATTGACATTATAAACATGACAAAGTAAGGTTAATTTAGGTATATCAAATTTTTACAGATTCATTGGCTCTTTTATAATAGTATAGATAATTAAATAAACTAATCAATCGTTCATACACATATCACATTAATATATTGTATTCAACAACCCTTTTTAAATAAACTCAATAACCCTTTTTGCTTAATGCATTCTTATGCTTACTGTTAGAACTTTTTTAAAAAAAAAAATTACATTAATATATTGTATTCAACACTTGTGATAAAGGTGCTTATGTTTATGGGCCCTGATGCACTGAGGGATGTGATTGAAGCTGCTGAGCTTTACCCAATTAGAGGTCTGTTCAATTTCAAAGATTACATTGGTGAGATTGATGACTACTATCATCAGTCACTTGGTTACGAGCTTGGTGTCTCGACTGGATGGAGGGCTCTCAACGACTTGTATAATGTAAGTATTATTTTGTGTCCATGTGTCGGTTCTGTAAATACTAAATATCAGTAATGTCTCATTTGTTAATTCGCATAATCAAAATTGATGCTGTTAATGTATGCTGCTGCTCTTATGTTTTTTTTTATTTTGTGAAAATTCGACTGCTTTAAGAAATTTTCTGAAAAGCATGATGCATGTATGAAGCAGTTTTGATGGTTAATAATAATCCATAAATTGCGATTAAGTCGTTAGCTATATTGATGATATCTCATTGATTTTTTATACTGTTCATTTTTTTTATATATCTATATATATACAGGTTGTGCCTGGAGAATTGACAATCGTAACGGGAGTTCCAAATTCAGGCAAGAGTGAATGGATTGATGCTCTGTTATGCAATCTAAACCATAGCGTTGGTTGGAAATTTGCACTTTGCTCTATGGAAAACAGGGTAATTTTTTGTTTCTGTTTTAATAGAAGTTTTAATATTTGATTTTGGAATACTTCTAACTCTTGGGGTCAGGATTTTATTGTTTATCATTTTTACTGTAATTGTTGTTTATTATTATAGTTACACTGAAACTATATTAAATAAATCCTTTGAAATATCTCTCTCTTTTTTTTGGTTTAATTCAACAGCATGATGAAGTTTCCTACAATGTGATCTTGCGTACTAATGCTAATTTCGGCATAATTGTTATCTCAGCAAGTTAATATAACCTTTTGAAGTTTTGATTTGAAGAGCTTTTGCTATCGGTATACATATAACTTTCTTCTAAGTTTTTCCAGGTACGAGAACATGCAAGGAAACTTTTGGAGAAACATGTAAGGAAGCCTTTCTTTGATGTTAGGTATGCATTTGATTCATTACTTCGTTATAGATTATTTTCTTTCTTTTCTTCGCCCTTTTTTGTTTTTTATTTTTTCGGGATGTTTACTTGTCATGTCCTAATTGTCGAGTTTCTTATGTAAAACAGATACGGGGAGCATATTGAGAGGATGAGTGTTGAGGAGTTGGAGAAAGGAAAGAAGTGGCTCAGTGATTCATTTGCTCTGATAAGGTTTACATATATATCTATATATGCTTACCCAAAAAAAAAAACAAAAACAAATATACTTACCACTCGCTTGTCTTAATTTTCGTTCGAGTAGTAATTAGTAAAACATCCTGAAGGAAGTTTTATTGAAGTTCATGTGTTTTGTGTGGTTTTTTACAAAACAGATGTGAGAATGATTGCCTTCCGAATATCGAGTGGGTTCTTGATCTCGCAAGAATGGCAGTCATTCGACATGGGGTTAATGGACTTGTGATTGATCCGTATAATGAACTTGACCATCAACGTTCCTTTAACCAGTGAGTCCTTTTTTTTTTGTCATAATTTGCTCGTATTTTGTGATAAAAATCTCGATCGGTTGTCATATTGTAGAAACTTTTTAGGCTGAGTGATTTTTATTTTAGCAATAACTTTTATAATATATTTTTTTATTTTAACAAGTATAGCTATAGAAGGCGGGGTGTTACATACATCGTCAGTGGAAGTCCGTGTTTCTTCTATTGGAGCATTTTATATATGTCATTCTAGAAACAAAGGACTTCATTTGTTAACTTGTTTAAAGTTTCGTATTCACACGCTTTCAATAGCTGATAAGCTAGCTTATTAGTGATTTTCGAACATATGACTTATGGCTGAAAAACTAATAACTTTTATAGCTGATAAAAGTGTTTTGGTAAAGCTGATAGCTGATAAACTAGCTTATAAGTGATTTTCGAGCTTATAGCTTTTGACTTTATATCAGAAAAGCTAGTTAGCTGATAAGCTAGCGTATTAGTGATTTTCGAACTTATGACTTATGGCTGAAAAACTAACTTATAACTTTTATAACTTGTATGATAAAAGTGTTTTGGAAAGCTGATAGCTGATAAACTAGCTTATAAGTGATTTTCGAGCTTATAACTTTTGACTTATATCAGAAAAGCTAACCTATGTGATAAAAGTGTTTGGTAAAATTTCAACGAGCTTATTTGAAAAGCTACCCAAAGAAGCTGGAGCTTTTTTAAAAAAAAAAATCGTTTACCAAACGAAGCTTATTTGAATACATGATGTTTATAAGCTAACCAAATCAGCAAACCAAATAAGATAGCTTATTTGGTTACCAAACATAGCCTTAATACTTCAAAAAAAAAAAAATCTTATAAAGATTTTGTTAAATCATGTATCGAAAAACAGGACTGAAACAGAATACGTGAGTCAGATGCTGACGAAAATCAAACGGTTTGCTCAACATCACTCGTGTCACGTTTGGTTCGTCGCACATCCAAGACAGGTTGGCGAAAATTGCAACGCTTTTTAGTATCTAAGCTCGTATATTATTACATTCTTTGTAATAAAATCCTTGGAAATTAAATTTTTGTAGTTGCATAATTGGATTGGAGGCCCACCGAATATGTACGACATTAGTGGGAGTGCACATTTCATTAACAAATGTGACAATGGGATTGTTATTCACCGTAACAGGGATCCCGATTCGGGTCCACTTGACATAGTTCAGGTATTATTATTATTATTATTTTCTCTCTCTCTCTCTCTCTCTCTCTCTCTCTCTCTCTCTCTCTCTCTCTCTCTCTCTCTCTCTCTCTCGAGACTCTAATTAAACGCCTATTGAATATTATGACAAAAGTTTTGAACAATTTATGTTCGATTGTTTGTCCAGGTTTGTGTGAGGAAAGTGCGCAATAAAGTCATAGGAACCATTGGAGATGCTTATCTTACGTATAACAGGTAAAAAAAAGACTCCCTTTTGTGTGTATTTCCTCCTTCTCGACTTTCATGTTCCACTTTTGTATTTCACTCCTTTGGATGAATGAATGACATGTGTACAAATATGACATCATCACTTACACGTGTCATAATCGAACCAAGAAGAGTAGGAAATCTCATTCCTTCCTCAAACAAGTGTTATGAAGTGGTGGTGATTTTTGTGGTATATAACAAATGTTATATATATATTTAACAATTTGATTTTTTTTTTTCCGGGTATAGTTTTAGAGACCGCTCTTAAATTAAAACGCGCCCGAATGTCAGACTGTCATGAATCTCAATTTTGTGATGATTTCAACAAACTCTTGTGTATTTCTCAGGGTCACTGGTGAGTACATGGACATTGATATGTCATCCCAAAAAGAGAAGCGCAAAAAATAGGTCATTCTTAAGGTTCGAAAATAGGACTTTTTTAATGTAATGTTATAAATATGAGTTGAATTCGAGCTCGTTTTTCAGTTTGAGCTTGATGAGTTTGGCTCAGCTAGTCTACTAGATTGCAATATTACTCGGATTTGATTGTATCTGATAGTGTAAAAGAAATGTTGAGTATTATTTAGTCCCATGAAAATTCATTAACACTGCAAAAAATAAATAAAAAAATAAAAATACAAGCGAGAAGGATATAATAAAAAGATGTAGAAAACATTTAAGAAAAAAACAAAGACATACCCATATCAGAAAATAGTGGGAAAAAAAAAAACATTGTGTCAAAGATTAAAAAAAACAATAAAATCGTCTATAAAGAATGTTT